TTCCTGCTCTTCTGGACTGTCATTACTTCCTGGTAATGGAATCTTATATAGAAAGTGCCAGCACTGTCCTCTTCTGCCCACTCTTTATTCTCTAAATAAGTTTATGCAGTGTTTTCAACATTCCAGATGTATGACTTATCCCATCAGCCATAACTTCAGGCTATTCCAGAAGTTTTCTTTTCAGAAAGCGTACTTCTCATTATTCAAGTTTATTTCTCATGCTTCTGGCCTTGGCATATGTATTGGTATTGATGCTTCAGGCTCATAGTATCTAGAATAAAAGTGTGAGCATTTGTAATGTATTTGTCTTTTGGTCCTTCTCTATAGCCCTCCTGACTACTGTAGCTCATCTGTGATCCAATCCATATACTCCCTCTGTAGAATTCAGTCCAATTTTCCATGAAAATGTAATGTAAATATCATATAGAAGGCAGATGAACTTCTTGCTGGTCATTAAGGCTCAGATCTTCTCTTTCTAAGTACATTTGACATTCCTTAGCATTTCTTGATGGAACTAAGGGTTCCCTAGGCCTCAGAGAGCCAAAGATGCGGCTACTTTGTCTAGACAGTTTCATACTCATACATAGGATTATTGAATGTGGTTGTGAGCCTTCAGTAACTCATTTTGCCTATGCACTCACATCCAGCATCAAACATAATATATGTACAGTAGGGTGAGGTCTGGATTTGGTTCTACTGTCATGGAAATAAACCTAAGTACATTAAAATCTCATTTCAAATCCCTATGCCCTGACATTGGATCTGGGTGTTATGGATCTCCAGGTGCAGGTTCAGGATTTGACAAGGGGAAGCCTGAGAGTAGAAAAATATGCTGAAAGGGTGGTTGAACCCCTGCTTTCAGCCTCCTCCTCCTTTGCCACCCACTGGTGTGGGCAGGCCCAGCTGCAGGAGTCACTAGGGGCTTTTAAAAGTCCCCAAAGCAGGTAAGAACTCCCTGTTCCCCTCATGCTCACTCAGATCTTCTCCCTTCCCATTCACCACTGCTGCTTTCCCCACTGTCCCTGGGGCACAGGGAAGCTTCAGAGCTGTTCCTGCCTGCTTCAGCCAGACTGCACAGAAGCTGGGCTCAGCTGGGACAGCAACAGTGGCAAGGGGCCTGGGGTGGGTTCCCGCACCCTGCTGGGTACCCTGGGAGCAGATGTGTGGAGGGGGATGTGACTGAGCATGTAGACAAAGGGGTGGGATTCTCATCTGCTTTGAGGATTTATAAAAAGTACCCAGCAGTTCCCAAGGTTCAGTCCAAAAGAGGGCAAAGGGTGTGCAGCCATGCCACTGCAACTCGTCTGGATCTGCCCTCATGAATCTCTCATTTAAAGGGTTTTCCTAATGCGTGATTCTTTCTTCTGCCTGCCATGAGATATGCACTAGCTGTATCTTGATATGAGTTAGAGTGCCTGAGTTTGATTAAAAAGTATATGAAAACTTGCGTTCTACTTCTTCACTCCTGAATATACAAACAATATCATCATAAGTGGAACTAACATAATTTATGCTTGTTCTGTTAGCCTAAAATAATAATTAATTCAGCAGATTGTTCAGAGGTGGATTATTCCACATGATTTTTTTTTAAAGTGTTATAGAATCATAGGATCATAGAAAATGAGAGTTGGAAGGGGCCTCAGGAGAGGTTCAAAGCAGGACCATCTCCAACTAGTTCATCCCAGCCAAGGCTTTGTCTAGCTAGATATTACACAAAGACTGAAGGTTGGGTAATTCCCCTTTTGGTAATTTATGAAATCATGGCACATTTATTAACACCAAGTCGAATCTCAAAGGAAGTTGTAGGAGCTACCAAGTATGTTGCTTTCTTGTTATTAAAATGAAAAAGAAAATGAGGTATATAATGGGTATTTGCTATATGCCAAACAGACTGTTCCACGCAAGGACGCAAAGCAGGCAGCTAAGCTACATGTAACAGCCACAAACATAGGCGTGTTTACTTATTTAATACATGTGCTACATTTATCAAAAGAGATGGGTAGTTAGCCGTGCTTGTTTGAAGTCAGGCAGAAGGCAGGTTAGGGTTACTTTATAAACTAACACTGGGTGTCAAACTCATCTGGCCCCACAGGCTAGATAAGTGGAATGGAGCCAGTCCACAGGCTGGATGAATGGCACGGGACTACATCAGGCCAACAGATCAACCCCCACAGGTTAGATACAGCATGTATCCTGGACTGGCCGGAGGAGGTGCCACCTGTGGCACATGTCCCAGATGAGCCCCGCATGGGTGCCACATGCAGCTCAGTTCCATACTGTTAGGGCAGGCTCTGCACATGAGTCAACTTCAAGACCTAGGGGCAGCACAGGGGATAATGAGGCTCCAGGGCCAGATCTGGCCCACAAGTCATATCTTTGAGAACCCTGGATTAACTGAATCAGAGGTGCATAAAAAAGTGTAACAAGAAATCAAAAGTGTAACTAGAAAGAATCCTGGCAAGGCCAGACTTTAGAATTCAGTGAGTTTCCTCACAAAGTTATCTTTATAGATGTTAGGCAACCATTTCCTTTGGTTCTTGACAAAGGATCATGTTCTGGCGAAGGGGTTCTGCTCCCGAGTCATGCACAATGGGCATATGCATAGATCTCACATCACTTATAGGAAAGGAGGCTCAGCTACTTTTGGAGTACTGTTGTGCTTTTGCTTGGGCCGGGTAAAGGATTCTTGTGTGTTTAGGGTTCCACAAAAGAAAACTGGGCAGGCTGAAGGAAGACTGGAGGACTTGCAAGAACAGACATTTTCTTCTCCCGACAGAAATTCCAAAGCTTAGCACTCAATTCCCTTTGTAAAGATCAGTTTAAAAGGATGTCTCTGGGGCAGCCATGGCCAGAATCAGCCTATAGTGCAGTTTAAACCATGCTGCCAAGAACCAGAACACTAAAATCCAAAGCTGAAGCGGTGACTCTGGGAATGGCTCTTCCCTTCCCTTTTGTCCCACACATTTTCTGTCTTGGCTCTGCATCCTGTTTAGTGGAGACACAATACTGGTGTGGGGGGAGCTCCATGAAAAGGTCCACCCCAAGTTTTCCTGGACCTAAGTTACTTCCTGGGTAGTTTAAACCTAGGAGGGAATTATTTAGCTCAGTTTGGTGCTGATTACTCTCTGCTAGCAGCATATTGGGTGTTAGAAGGACAGAATGTGTGAAAAATTAATTGCAAATCATTGGAGATGGTGTTTCTGAGCTTTCATATTTAAGGATAGGGTTTGGCCATTTTTAAGCAGTAGAGAGAAGTATATGGGTGCAGATCCCTGTAGTTTTGCATGAGGAAGTTGACGCTAGTCCTATCAGCTGTCAATCCAAAAATATTACCATAAACTGGTGATGACTGAAGTTGCGTGTGGTCCTGGGAAAGCAACCTCCCTACCTATTTGGGGGTTCTTGATTGCTAATCTTTGCTTTGAATCCTTTAAAGCAGCTGTTCTATGCATATGACCCTACCTGTGTGTCTCTAACTAGGCACCAAGCATGTCCTTATCTGATGTGGCTGATTCTCTACCTGGGAGTGGCCAAATTGCCAGTACAGGTGACATGGGCAGCCTCTGTGTGGCATGTGGCAGATTAGAGAGGGAACACGCAGCACAGTGGCAGCCAGGGCAGGAAGCAAAAAGCAAAGGATCAGATCAGGCAGGGAACACATGGCTAGGAGCAGAAAGCAAAGCAGCAGACCAGGCAAGGGTGGGGTATCAGAGTAGCACTTGGGGCAGGAATGGGGCTAATTTATGGTTTGCCTGCCAAAAAGATTGTCCCCTCAGTGCTCTAGATATTATACCTAATGGGTGAAATACGTTTTCCCCTGATAAGGCCTTTGTTTCAGCACATTGCAGTAGAATCTGCATTTGTCATGTAGAGGATTAAAAAGGGCCCTTTTCTGATGCCATGCTGCACACTGCAAAAAACTGGGAAACGAAGACAGGATGTTACTTGTTTCATAGAAGAATCAGAAAAAGCCACATCAACTTATGATACCATATAAGTCCCTGTTTATCATGCCATCTCAAATCTGACGAAAGCCCCTGTATCTTACTGGTAAAGAATTATGGTTGTCAGAATATTTACTATTGCATAATTAGTTACACAGGATTGGAGTGCTGTTTATAAAATGGAGGTATAAATATAGCTACATGCAATAATTAAGCACTTTATTTAAACATGAGAAAAGACACCTAGACAGTGAGATACAAAAGAAAAAGATAAAATTCCATATTAAATAGTAGTAGATTTATGATGGCTAATTGTGTCCCTTTGTCCTCTTCCCATTCTCTACTCCTTTCTTTTTTCCCACTCTAAAACACTCTGTTACAAAGCAACCTATGTTATGGGGCTACTTGACCTTAGTTTCAAAAACTGTACAGAAATCTATTGCACCCTTATTGCAAAATACTTCAGAGTAACCTGGATTTCTTTTCCAGAAAATCCATTTAAAAAAGAGGAAAATTATTGCAGTTACATTTTTGCAGAATTTATTGTGAAAAAGGGCATATAAACCAATTGATTAAAGCAAAAATTATCACATGATTTCTGTTTTAAAACAAATAAAAGGATCCTTAAAATCCCCTTTAAAGTGGACTTTCCCTTACAGGATAAAATGGAATTAAAATATTGTCAATAAATTGTGTGAGAGACTGTATCAGTCTGTGCATTGATAGTCTGTGCATGCAGGATAAGAACATTGACTGCCTGCTAATCTATTCCCAGATGGAGGTGGATGCAGACGAGAAGCGCCATCGCACACGCTCCAAAGGTGTTCGAGGTACGTCTCTTGCTTCAGTAAATCACTCAAGGCCCCCGCTCAGGGTGACCTTCATCCTCCAGAATCTCTTTGCACAATTCATTCTGACCCTTGCTTTTACACAACCTTTTTGGTAATTTTCTGTAGAAGTGGGATACTTGTAATAGATGATAAATTTTTATATATTTTCCATCTCTCTGCAGTTCCCGTGGAACCAGCCATACAAGAGCTGTTCAGGTTAGTGCTCCAAGTGTAAAATGTATCCCCATTAGCAATTTAGAAAATTCATGCCTTTTAATGGGTATAATGTACTTTCAAGTTCATTGGTGGTTTGCTCATGCCCTGCTGCACTGATGAAATTAATTCCCCTGAGACTTGCTAATAAAAAGCATCCCCTCTTTTTTTTCCCCTTCAGTTATTTGATTTCTCTCTTTCTGTCTTTGTTGCCCTCCATCTCTGTAATACCTACTGCCTGCTTTTAGTATAATCTGTCTGCAGCGCACCGGCACCTACATAATTAATTCTTTCCTTTCTGCAGCTGTCCTACTCCTGGCTGTGATGGCAGTGGTCACGTTAGTGGCAAATATGCAAGACATAGAAGGTAATACCTCTAATTTTTCAGAACATAGTGAAGAGATTTGGTAAACAAGTTCTCTGGCATGACCTTGTTTACTCCCCTAACAATGATAAAAATGAGAGGCTGAAAATTCTAAAAGCCATTCTGGTTTTGTCTATTTTTTTCTTTTTTTTCTGTGTTTTCTAACTAGCTTTGCCCTTTTTGTGAGGATAGTCAAAACATAAATTTTCTATCACATCTTAGTAGAGCATAAAGTGGAAACTAAAACAAGGCAAATGAGGACAAGTCCCAAATTCTCTTATCAAACTTACAGCTATACTCTATTCCTCCTAATCATATAGGTGATAAACTTGAATGTCAGGCAAAATCTGAAACACTCTTTTGCTGAGGACACTTGTTCCTGTTTCCCATCATCTCTCGGTTTTTGTATGCAGTTCTGTAGATCATGTGTGGCAAATTAAAAATTGACCTTAGTGACGTTTTAGTGCCAGTGTGACTTCTGTCATTTAATGTGTTCATAAATGGAATGAAAACATAAGCTTTTGAGCACAGAGAGTTCAATGATCAGGTTAGATTCAAAGGTCAAAGTCTAGGACAGATCAGTGATAATGAGACTTTGGATTCAGATGATTATATTATAGTCATAAATACTGTTACTTCAGCTCCTAAACTGTGATGAGTGGAGAGATCTCCAGCAGGATAATGTGTTTAGCTTTTTATTGTTACTAAAACATCAGGCATGATTACATTATATATATACATGTACCTGAAAATCATTTAGAATTTGATCTTTACATGTCTATATTCACAGTGTAAATGTTCAATTCAGCATGTGGTACATATAGATAAACAACTTTAGTTTCTTCTGCAGTTTGTTAATGCATCTCTTTGCAACCCTGTGAAAGTTACCTATTAGTTACTAAGTTGTTGAGCAAATCAATTTTTCTTATCCATGCAGTGCTTTATTATCTTATTTCATGTGACAACTATTGTAGAGGACAAAATGGCTGACTTTTGGCCATTTCTCTGTCAAACAAGAAAAAGCCATTTAACTTAATATTAAATTGTCTTAAAGCTTTTGTAGGTTTTTTTTATTGATTCTTTTAAAGACCACTATAGTTTTAGGTTTTGAAGAAATCATTGTGATTTAAAGAGTACACATTTCACACCAAATATGGTGGCTACTTTGTAATAACGATATGTTGCCTAGAGGTTAAACTGAAGTAACAGCTGCTTTCATCTGTAAATTCAATTTGAGTCTAGGTGTGTGGGTTGGGTGTAAATCTGCTCCACTCTCTCATATGCATCTAGTTTCTTTTCTGTGAAGCATTCATAAAGTTAAGGCTACACAAAGTTAGAAAATTAAGAAAAAACAAAGGTAAACTATGTTGTAAATAATCTTTTCAAAGCCATTTTAATGGAAAATAAACAGGTTTTGTTTTTCTGTGTTTAACATATTAACATTTCTTACCTTAATCTGTTTTATAATAGCTTTTTCAAGGATAGCAGTAATTTGGTTCACTGATTTAGCAGAAATATACTAATCATTTTCCTTAATTTCAAAGAACATATATGTTTCCTCATATAAATGCAAGCTTCATCAGTAAATAATGAATGACACCAAATACTATTTTTTCCTTCAGAAATTCCATGAATAGTCAACAGTTAAATATGATTATAAGTTCCTTCCCAAGAAATCAATGGTACACAATTTAACTAAGTGTATTTCTTACAATTTAGATGTGTTGTTCAAACACATTATTTTTTAACCAAATGGAAGGAAACAATTTCTAAAGGAATTTAATTTTGACAGTTGCATCTCTTCTGCATCACTGTGCCTTTGCTATGCCTGTGAGTGTGTACTCTCACCTTTTCTCACTTGTCAGAATAGGGAATAGATGTATGGTTGGGCATGATTAGGTGCAGTTTTGAGCTGTTAATTCTGGATTTTGTTTTTTTAACATGATTCTGGTCTGTCAATAAATGAACAGACTGAATCTTAAATGAAATTTTGGGGAGACACAAAGTAGAAAAATAGGAAAGGTATCAAAACCTCTTCCCCCACAATTGCTGAAGTTTCTGTCTGTCTGTCTGTCTCTCTGTGTCTTTTTGAAACCCTGTCAGTCCATGAGTCAGATTATATTCAATTAACAGACCCCTTACTCATTTGACTAGAAAACAAGTTTTTGTGGGAGTTTTTAGCATAGTGTCTGTTTCAGAAAGATCAATTTTCAGTTATTCTATCAAATTGTACCAACAAATAACAACTTTAAGTTATTTTGAAAAAAAGTTTTCCTTGCTTAATCTCTCCTCTGTTGTCCCCCATCATAATTGTTTGGAAAGGGAAAAAAAAGGCATTTAATGTAAAAAGAATTTAGACCCTTGTAAAGAATGCCATGTGTTCCAGGGAAGCATCTAGCTGAACTGAAATCCAACTCAGTTCCATTCAGTCCTACATAGGAGTTTAATGAGGTTATGACCTTTCCATTCACAATAACAGACCAGCTCATTATTATGAATGAAATGTGTTTGCTTCTACTAGTAGATGCATTTAGAGTCCACAGAGATCTTATGATCTTTTTTTTTTCTAGATGTTTTGAATTCTCTAGGATTTCTGATCTTTTCTGCTTACAAAAGCATGTGACATAATTTTTATTTAGTTAATAGAACCATGCCATCAAATGGTGGCTAACACTCAGACCTCTTTAACTTAAACCAAAAAGAAAATAAAGACAGATCTTTAGATGAATATTTTATTGTTTTTGTTGGAAAATATCAATCTGGACAACCAGAATTTAAAGGTTTGGTTTTAGGGATGTAAGTGCTGAAGTATTTTATGCCCCAAGGCCTACACATATGGGCTAGTATTCTGGAGTTCTATCCTCCTGTGGGGACCTTATATCCATACAAGTGAATGAGAGTTATAGGGGTTCTCCTGCATGACTCAGATTGTTGGATTAGGTCCAGTTTTGGACATTGAACTAATAAGTGGTACCACTTGATTGTATTAATGCATAGGTGCATTTTTTCTGCACTGGGCAAAATTATGTTTTGAAGTTACACATGAATAAGAGGACTAATACAGGTAACTAACTACCTCTATCAACATGTGCAAAATGACTGATTACAGTGAGGTTATCCATACCTAACTTAGGACAGACTGACCCATGTTGACAACTTTGTTGTTATCCATGAAGAATTTTATTTTAAAAAATAATTATTTATGCAATAGGTGGATACGATCTTTCATGTAAATAGATATTTAGGTACATCATAAAAACCTGAACTAGATACTATTAAAAAGTCTGGGGTATGTGCAATGGGCTACTGTGAAGCTGCCATAACATGGGTGTTTACAATTTTTTTTTCAAAAAACAGAAGCAATTAGGTTCTGTTATAGGCTAATCACTTGCAAATACCACACACTTCAAAATGAAGGCCATTTTAAAGAAATATGAGTACAAAGAAGAAATCTTAAAATTGTGTACTAATATTTCATATAATTGAAAACAGCTGAAGCCATTGTACTGAAATTGTTCAAGGGAAAAAAATCCTTTTAGGCTGTGACTATGTAAATTAAGTTTCAGTGAAGAAGGAATTTTTAAGGCTGAATCATAAATCCTTCAGATTTGTAAAGGGAATACTGATAGATCCCTGACTATAATACTGAGCTTCAGCTTGATTGCTGAAAAATCAAAATTTGGTTATGACAAAAAAGTGCAAAACCAAGCATTTCACACAGACAAAATTCCTTCATGCCTTCTGATCGTACTGCATTTATAAGCCCCCTCTCCCCATTTTTTTCCTATATAACATTAATGGAGCCTTGTGCAAAAGCAAACAACTACCACATTTATGAGTAGGAAACGTAAAAATAATGTTTGGATCTATAATATATGAATCTTCACTGACACTATAAAAGTCTTTTGCTTTTATCAGGCAAAACTTCCTATCAAATAACTTTAATATCAGCCAGCTCTTTGTTGCTTCACTATGCTGTCTCTGTTCCTTATCATCTTTTAAATTATACAGATAGACTTGTGATCATTTCTAATTTTTAAGGATGGAATTTGTTACTTGAAACAGGAGATTTGTTTGTTAAAAATACATTAATACTTTGCAGTTTAGCACTGCTCCTTTATTTATTTATTTTTAGATGCACTATATTATTGTTATGGCATTTTAGTTTATGTTTTAGTTCTGCCCTTTTTATAATAGACTGAGTCAAATAATTCAAACCTGAAACTTTAAAATTAAGAGACTCAAATGTCTTTCTCTTATTAGAAAATTATTGAATTTTCTCTGGCTTGTTGTGCCATATTTCTTATTCAAATTTTTTCATTTCATATACCTTTTCACCCACCAGTTTGATTGCCATGGCTGCAGCCGTGGGTGAATAATTGCCTGTCTTCACAGGAGCATGTTCTGGAGCTAAAGTCGAGTGCTTGCTTCCTGATGTATGCCTCATTTGGATTCTGCCGACAGCCTAGGGGCTGTATTATTCATGCCTTGACAGATAGCACTCACTAAAAGCATTGGAACAGGGCCAGGTACTGGCAGAGAGATAGTGGAGCATTGCAACTTGCAACTGAGAGGAGCATCTATAATACAAAAAAGAGAAATCCTCATACCTCCCTTTTACTGGTTTCACTTTGATGGAAAATTCATTTGCATCAAAATAAAATACCCTAAAAATAAATATATTTTTTTCTAAACCATGCTTGAAAGTTTAACACAATTTTCCACATTTAATTGCAAAGCTGATTTTAATTAGTAAGGCCCTGCATGTGAAAAATGAAGATTCACTTGGGTGAGTGTAACACATTGCAGTGTCTGCTGAATGCTCTAATTAATGTATGGCTGCTGTACAACAGGGTGCACTGTGGGATATTTATGAAAAATTCTGTGCACGCAGCCAGTCTATCTGTATTTTAGTTCTTGAATCCACAAGAATAAATAACTTTCTCCCCTTTATTCTTTATGAGACATCATTGTGCATGCCATCACTCCATCCATAAACTTTA